CAATTGAATATACCCAAATTCCAGCATCAGCACCCAATAATGTACCAGCATTAAAGATAATGCTAGACATTTACCATAATGATTTCGGCATGTTCCACAATATGTATTATTCGTTGGATGCAATTAACCTTCAATTTTGTAACATGTCTTACATCTAAGAAAACAATTTAACAACCACTTTGTTTTGGGCTTTGTTCCATTCAGAGATAAATTTGACGATGTAATAAAACCAATTGTAAATGAAATTAATATTCTAGAAAAAGATATTTTAATGAATATTTTGGGTCACAACACATAGATAATTGCTGCTTTAGGTGTTGTAACCTCTGACCTCTCTCAGGGCAATGATCTTGTAGATATGAAACATCATTTGGTAATCTAGGGTGCAGAAGTTGTCTGGTGCCTAAGAAACAATTAAGTAATCTTAGTTTTGATGTTAAGCTTAATTCCTGATATCATCATATTACAGATAAGAAAATAAGTAAATTAAAAAACTTAATCAAAGAGAGGGCATCACAAAAAATGATTAGTGACTATTGTACAAAACATGGTCTAAGTACACATTCTAGTATTCTGAATCATCTAACATGAAACTGTCATTTACAAACACCTCAAGATGCATACCATGCTGTAAGTGGAAAAGTACTAAGATTAATAGATTGTACTTTTTCAATGTTAAATCCAAGAGGGCAAAGTATATTTTTAAATTATTGGAAAAGCTTTGAAACACCTTCTAGTTGGGGTCGTTTCTCCAATCCAATAAAACACTTTAATAGTTTTATGTTCTTAGATTGTTTGAGATTAGCGATGATCATGCTATTTTTATTACGAAGGTTTTTAACAACTTTGCATATCAAAGATACTAATTTGGCTTTTCTACGAAGACAACTTACAACATCAACAAACAAGATACCGTCATTTACACAACTCGTAAACAGAATCGTTTTATACTGGGTGGCTGTCACCAAAGCATCATGTTTAAGTTTCAGCTTTACTTTTACTGAACAAACATATAAAGAATTAGATAATGCTCTAAAAATTGAGCATATTCTTTTACTAAAGGTAAGAATCATATAGCT